CACTGTGTGTTTTCAGATCCCTGACGACGGCCCCGCCCACACTTAAAGGGCCCGCCGCCCCGGTCCTGGATTCCGTGAGCCAGCCTCCAGCCTTAGCCAAATCTCTCCCAAACATACCTCGCTTGACTTCCAGAAGAAACCTCCCCTATTAAAACCCGCTAAGGCCGCTCCTGGGGGACGGCGAAATAATTTTAGTTGTTAGGAACTGTGCATGTGTAGCTTTGCTTAAATACGTTAGAATTAAGTGCACAGCACTACTGATAATTGTGGTAATTACACTGCTACACTACTGCTGCTAATCCTAGTAATCACTCAGCTGCCTCTTACTATTTGCAGTGTGCAGAGAGCCAGTACAGTTGTCAGCTCACATGAGGGGCACACAGCCTTGTGTACGAAGCTGGAGAAGTCGGGGGAAAGGTTCCATTTGACAAATGAGAGAATAATTCCCCAGGGAATCAGGTGTAATTAGTAGTTTACAGTGAATTGTGGAAAATGCAATATACATCATCTCCGCTTTCAGGAAGCTTACAGAGAGGCTGAACCAACACACCAAATACCTGAGTAGTAATAATGTTCAAAATACAAATATCAATTAATCTCATTAAATTCCAACAACCCCACAAAGTGAGTAGCAGTAATAGCAGTAACGTCTCTATCCAACAATAAAGGACACTGGCATACAAAGAAGTGGCTTGAGGAAAACCACCCAAGTGTTAACTAGCAGAGACAGGCAGCCCTCTGACATCAGATATTACCAGAATATTTCTCTCCAGCCCATACTACTGGGTATCAGCCACTCTCCCAGGCCTGCAGGGGTTGCCCCGCAAATTCCCAGCCTACTGGAACAGTTGTGTTAAGTCTTCATTGACTCTTCGTGTGAGACCGCCCCCCCTGCAAGTTAATAGCACCGGCTAGGTCCCTGGCACGGGTGGCTGGGACCCACAGGAGACGGGCTCGTGGCCCTGAAAGGGAACGATGCTCCCAGTATTATGCTGGGGATAAGGCCTGGGTGGCCACAGGTTAAAAGCAAGGACTTGGAAGTGGAAGTCGCACCCCCTGAAACTGGATGGAAAGCATTTCTTAAATACCCAGGAAAGTACTCAGTTCCACTACATGATACTGGGCAGGACTGTGCATGAGCATGCCTTGGGACATCAGGAGCACTGGTCTGGATGTCACCAAGAGTTGAGTTCTCATCCTAGTTCTCATGCTATGCCAATAACTACCTGCATAGCCGGCGAGAGCCCTCTCGGGCTATCGGTTTTCTCCCTTGCAGTGACCCTTAGACGTTACCTCTAAAATCCTCTACTCACTAACTCTGCTTCTAGTGAGAACGCACTGTTAGATTTTAATCTGAAGAAACATCCGTTGCCAAATAATCCAAGACATGAAATCCAGGCTCCAATAAAGCCCTTGTTCCCTTCTTCCTTGGCACCAGATGAGGAAGAAGGAATTAATCTTTGGTTTTTTCCATTTTCTTGTAAGTTCACAGCCATACCACCACCACCCTTGAGTTCGTTTCCAGACTTCCACCTCCACTTCTTCCACAGCTTCCTTAAACAAGAGGCGACTGGCCCTCACCCTGGACAGACAGAAGCCAGGGAGGAGTGGCTTCCAAGCCTTGCTGAGTACCTGAATCACACGTGAGGTTTGTTCAGAAATTCAGAAGCCAGAGCTCTGTCTCTGGAGACACCAGTTTGGTCGAGGTAGAGTCCAGAAAAGTCTAACTTGAATAATTTTCCCTCCCATCTTTCAAGAGTTTGCTCAAAGGCCACAGGGAGGCCTTCCCGTCACCTATTTTAAATTATCTTTCATGCTACTCCATAGTTTACACATTTATTTAACTTATTGCTCACTCACGGCCCCACCCCTGCTGTAAAATACAAGCTCCATGAGGGCAAGGGTTTTGTTTGTTCATTTTGTTCACTGATATAGCGACAGAGCCTAGTACAGTGCCTGGCATATAGTAGACATGAGACCATTCCTCAAATTTCAGAGGCAGTATTGCACAGTAATTAAAGACACAGACTCTGGCAATGCACATCCTGTTAGATCCCAGTAACCGACACTTCGTAGCTCCACTACGTTGGGCAGGTGACTTTAAGTTTCTTCGCCTTGTTTCCCTCATTGGTTATGCAAACGAAAATAACGCTTACCCAAACTAGGCAGCCTGTGTTCAATATCACTTCCACCACTCCCAAGCAGTGTGACCTTTTAAAAAATATCTCTGTTGGCCAGGTGATGTGGCTCACGCCTATAATCCCAGAACTTGTATCCCACGACGGTTGTGGATCATTTTCCAGTTGGGGAAACTGAGGCATGAATATTTATTTGTTTGTTTATTTATATATTTTCTTTTTGAGACAGGGCCTCACTCAAGCTGGAGTACAGTGGCCCGGGCAGCCAAGTCAGAAGGATTGCTTGAGGTCTGGAGTTCAAGATCAGCCTGGGCAAACATAGTGAGACTCCACCTCTACAAAATATTTAAAAGTTAGCTGGGCATAGTGGTGCACACCTGTAGTTCCAGCTACTGGGGAGGATTGCTTGAGCCCAGGAGCACTAGGCTGCAGTGAGCTATGACGGGGCAACCACACTCCAGCCTGAGTGAGATCCTGCCTCAAAATATGGAAGTAGGCCGGGCTCGGGGACTCAGCCTGTAATCCCAGCACTTTGGGAGGCCCAGGCGAGCGGATTGGGCCCGCGGGTTCGAGACCAGCCCGGGCAACTTGGTGAGCCCTCGTCTCTAGGATGTTCACTGTATCCCAGGACAGCTGGGGGTCCTTTTACAGTTGGGGAAATTGAGGCAGAGCGAATTGAGGCAGGCTCTGCCTCAATTTCCCCAACTGTAAAAGGACCCCCAGCTGTCCTGGGATACAGTGAACATCCCCTCATTTAAGGCCTGGAAGCCAGACCTCTCAGGAGGGGTCTGGGGAGGCTGGAGTGGGGCGGGCTGGGGCTCAGGTCAGCGTCCATCCCGAGGCAGGCCCCGTGTCGGGAGAGCCCTGCGCCCTGCACCGCCCACGCTGCTCGCGGGAAGAGCCCCGCAAGCTCCGGCGGCGCAGAGGAACGCCC